TGAAAATATAACATATATATAATAATTAATTTTATAAACTGAAATACACATTAAAAAAATCAAATAAACTGAAAAATATAACATATATATATATAATAATTAATTTTATAAACTAAAATACATATTAAAATTAATAAATAAGAAGAATGGAAGAAGAAGCAGAAGAAAAATTACCTGGAGGCTGAAACCCTAGCTGGCTGCTGCTCCTAACCTTGGGAAGGAGAAAGAATGGTCTTTTCACTTTGGGTCTGTTTTGTATAATAAAAATAAAGACTCAAACTTTTTATTTTTTAAAATGACCCCTCTGAACAGAAGCGAGCGCTTCTGTGCTTCTCGCTTCTTGGTCGCTTCGCGCTTTTTTGGCTGAAGCGATCGCTTCTGCCGGTCATGTCGCCTCAGTCAGGAAAAAGCGACGGTTTCTCGCTTCGCCTCGCTTCTCGCTTAAAGCGACGAAGCGCTCGCTTTTCAAAACACTGTAAAATACTTAATATTAATCTAGAAAAACTAATCGTCCATTCCATTAGAGGAACTGGAAGAACGATACGAGAGGGAGTCAAGGTGAGTTCCCTCCATCACGATCAAATCACTAGATCCTCTTGAGTTTCAGCCTCTATGTCCCTTCAATATTGATTTCTGGAGTTCTGAAGCTGAGTGCTTAGAACCTCAGTGTCTTTTTTCAACTCTTCAATGTTGAGTTTAGAAGGAGGAACGTTGTTATTAGCCATTTCTCCTTTCCAAGTTTTGTGCACATCATTATCACAAAAATAAAGCCTTTTTAGCAAAAATTATCACCTGCCGGTTGATGATTCATTTACCCTTTGTTAGATGCCTATTTTAATGCAAATTAATTAAGTAGTGTCTTTTCATATTCTTCTTTGCAGTCACGTTCCATTCAAGCGTAAAAAAATGAATATGAAAAGACATGGCTGAAATTATTATAGATACTATTTTATGTATAAAGTGTAAATAAGAATAATTGAAAATCCAGTAGTTTACCCTGAAGTTCAAATTTCTGAAAATATCATGGAAATTGCTAAATTTGGAACTCCAGGACATTGTAGTGGATTTCGAACCTGGACAAATGAGATGCAAATTGTCCTGGTGTTAAAAAATTCTAGCAACAAAAACAACTAGACATTAAATTTTAAAAAGCATATAATTTTGCATTAATATATCTAAGAAAATGGGAAGGGGAACCTTGGAGCGCCGGTAAAGTTGTCTCCTCATGACCTGTAGGTTACGGGTTCAAGCCGTGGAATCATCCACTAATACTTCCATTAGGCAGGCTGTCTACATCAGTATTGTGAAGAGCATGAAGCGAGGAAAAACGACAAGCCCCTTTTCGCTTAAAGCAACACTCACTTTTTTGAAGTGAAACGGAATTAAAAAAAATACTAAAATAAATATTGCATAGACAACACATGTAACTATAAACAAATGTTCAATACTTCAATGTAAAAACTAAAGAGTAGCATCAATGAAAGCACAAGATGAGCATCCTATTCTTCTACAAGATTGTCAAATTCTTGTATTCCACTATCATTAAGCCCAAGTCGAGTCTTTCCTATCTTCTTTTGGTGCCATTAAAAGAACAACTTAAGAATAAAAAGAAAATTGGCAGTCACAACAACTGAAGAACTGAAAAACAAAATTTTTTTTGGCAGCAACTCGTTTTAATTTAATAGCCCAAAAAACGAAAAAAAAAGAAGAAGAGATCGAGAAAAAGAAGAACTGAAGAAGAAAAAAAAATTGGCAGCATTTTGCTGCAATTCTAAGCAAAGAAGGAAGGAAAGGAGGAGGAGGAGGAGGAGGAGGAGGAGGAAGAAATCATACCCGGGCTCGAACTCGAAGAACTTTGAACTTGAAGAGTGCTGAAAATTGAAAACCCTAGTCGCCGCTCTGCTGCTTGCTGATTTTGTGATAGAAGACTGAGTTTTTTTTCGTTGGCAGTGACTTGAACACAGAAGCGAGCGCTTCTGTCGCTTCTCACTTTTTGGCAGAAGCGCTCGCTTCCAACCTCCTGCTATGCTTCACCCAACATTCACAGACTCGACGCCTCGCTTTGCTTCGCGCTGAAGCGAGCGCTTTTCACAACATTGGTCTACATCACAGCCCTTGGGGGGCGGCCCTTCCCTGGACTTTGCGTGAATGTGGAATGTCTTGTGCACCGGATTGCCCATATCTAATAAAATGATACTAAGAAGAGCACAATTTTCATTGCACAAAAATAACTTTTCAAAAAATAAATAAAAATACCTAATGATAAGGATAACAAATTGATCCTTAGAATATCACCATTTTTATTGCACAGAAATGTTTATCGCAAGCCAAGAACCCAAAGATCAGCAGGATCATCAAAATCAGAGATGATAATAGGAGACTCAACCAACGGACTACATTCCCTATGAGCGAGCTTAATACGACGACGTTTAGCATCAAACTGATACCGGAAGATTTCTAATTTGGCCTGAATGGGAGTAACAAAGTGCAATTCTTCGTTCTTAGACATGGACACCATCAAAGACTAGTTCCTCCCTTATTTTGTTGGAAGTGCCTTTCACTGCTAACAGGTTTTCTAGACATTTGTTCAAAGTAAAAAACAATAACTATTAATTTGTATATGTTTCTAATACAAGAACAAAGGCTATTTATAGCCAAAGTTAACACCTACCACATGCATATTGATTTACTCTGCATTCGTAGTATTTCTCAATGCAAAATAAATGAAAATAGTGTTTGTATTCAATTCATCTTATACATGTATCATTGAGAAGGTGTATTAATAAAATACATGCCTTCAATTGCAAAAGACAAAAACATTCACTTATAACTGATGCATGTGATGTGAACTTTTACATTTCATCATTGTATCCAGGATAGTATCTTGGATTTCAAAATTCTATAGGTAGAACCCTAGGATAGTACCTAAAATTTCACACTTATGCATTCATGAATCCAAGATAGTATTCTGGAATTTCACACTTCAAGATGTAGTTAGATACTAGTTCCCATTATTTTTTTAGGAGTTTTAAAGTTGAATGACAAGACAATATATGTGTATGACTCCTGTGGTTCTGGCTATGGGAGTATTCAACTTGGATTTTTGAATGCTGAAGTGTGAAATTTCAGCATTTTGTGTTGAATATCACCTGTGGTAATTGTAAATAAAAGTTGTCTTTTGCAATCGAAGTAAGTTGACTGCAATAGGTATTTTATTAAATGCAATGTGTTTATCAAGATATACGTACCAGTCAAATTGAATGCAAATACTATTTTGCATTAAAAAATGCTACTAGTGTAGAATAAATGAATGTTATGGTGGTAGGTGCTAACTTCGGTTGTAAATAGCCTTTGTTCTTGTAGTAGTTACATATACAAATCAATAGGTTAGAGCTTTGAAGTCACCCTGAACAATTTTTTTCTATCAGATTTTCTATTTCGTTTTAGTCAGCGCTGAGTGGGTTGGTTTCTTGGATAGTTAAGGATATATCCTGAGGTGTAAATATGACATACGTAGTGAAAGGAGATGGTGTATGGGAGTAAAAATTCCTCTCATTTGGCTATAAAAAAATAGGATGTTTATCAGCTAGAAATATGCAACTCACATATACAAGTTTGAGTTATTAGTTGTTAGCCCGTGGTTTCTTATGCTAGTTGATGTATACTTATTTCTGGTTTTATGATTGTGATTTATAATCTGGAAAACAGGTAGAGAAACCTTGTATATTTACCTGGCTAGTTGTTGTTTATGTAGAGTGAAGCTAATGATGGGCCCTGCACCACACACACAACTGGATGCTGAATTGGCAGCTGGAATGGGCATGCCAGATAATGGTCCGAAGTTAATGTCAATGAGTTGAACCTCCCCTTTTCTGTTTCTGTCTATGTAGCTCCTTCGATACTAATTTACTTATTTGAGTTCTGTAAATGTTTTTAACAGTTTCTGTAAGGAACTAGCAATATAGCTAAATTTTGTTGGCTGTTCATGTGTTCATGATTCCCAGCTTTGCTAGTAGTGTCCTAAATTTTGTTTCTTTTGCGTCAACAAAGGATCTTAATGTTTAGTTTCTTCCCCCCTCAATAATTTTGGGTCGACAGAAAATGTGCTTATTTCATCAAAGGGAAGAATTTCTCTAAGAAAGGTCGTATCTCATTCCACTAATGGAAGTGTCGATATTGGTTCTCTTAGTTATTATTTCTTTCAACACTATCACATAATATTTCATTTCTAGTTTCTGATATTCCCTTTTAGTGATATGTTGTTAATATAGAAGAGATTGAGTGTTTTAATTAATTGCACTGGATTCTTAATCATTTAATCATTCAACTTTAACCATTTCATGGAATTCTAAATATAACAAGTAGTGTCCTGAAAGTGTAATGTCTTAAATCTATATACAACAACAAACCCAGTGATTTTAACTAGCCCAGTCTTAAATCTATATAAAGAATAAAAACTTCACCAAAATAAAATATAAAAAATTTAACTAAATATGATTTTAACTAATTTCACAATATTCAAATTATGAATAAATTTTATCTACAAGTATGCGAAGAAGTGTTTTTGTAAGTATATATTTACAATTATTAAACAGCTTAACACTTAATTTTTTTCTGTGTAAAACACTAATTAATTAAACTTTCTACAGGTATATAAGAAATCACCAACAATCAGATAATCATAAAAATGTTTCCAGTTAAGAGAAATTAAATTGAAAAGAATATTGCTTGTTTATTTCAAAATTCGAACTACTTATTAGAAAATATGCATCCAAACACTTACTCTTTTAAGCACATCTGTTTTTTTCCCCCAAAAGAATTCTTTTAAAATACTTCATGCAAAAATTATCCAGAAACGTAAAAGGCAATAGGACCAACCGTTTCAGACCCGGTTCAATCTCCCATAATAATAATCCTATTAACCACCGCCCCCAACGTAATTAAACCGATTTTTTTGTCCACGTGTCATCCTCAATTCCTGTGGCGTCAATTTCTTCTCCTTTCCTTTTCTCCCCATTTTTTCTTTTCCCTCTTTACTTTCTCAGATTCCGATCATTTTCCTTCTCCGATTCCTCCCTTGAGATTCCTCCTCCCGTCCGAACAATGTCGGAGATCGCAGTTGTCTGTTTCACCTCCGTCTATTCTATTCCTCTCCTAAAAGAACCCCCGTGTTCCTCCGGTTCATCATCTTTGCCTTATCGTAAACCGCCGCTTTTCTCGAGTCAATCGTCGATCCGCTCCATCCGGTTCGTCGCGAAGGCGTCCGGTTCAGGCGGTTTCTTTGGCGGTGATGCACTTGGACCTTATCCTTGGGAATCTTCTGACTCTGATGATCCTTGTATGTCTCTTGATATTTTTTGTTTAAAACTTAAAAGCAAAAAATTACTTTTTTTTTTCCTTTTTGCTGCTTGATCTTTGAGATGTTCTTCTTTACTGTTCATTTTAGCCTATGATGATATCAGTCAAAGCTTCTCGATCTCAAGCTAGTTGGATTCGGCTATATGAATTTTGTTTAAATATATTTGATCTGTTCAAGTCTATTTTATTTCAATAGTATATTTTTAAGGCAAATTAGGCTTCAGTTCTAGAGGATATTTAAATCTTACACTTATCCTGCGCTAAGACCCATATCCAAAATAAAAGAGACTATCAAATATCATACTTAAGTGAAATGTAGCAACAACGATTGAGCTTAATTTCAACTAGTTGGTATCATATATAATGAGTCAAGGAGCTAGAAATTATGCAAGGTGGTTCAAAAAAAATAAACCAAAATGTCACATTTCTTATTTGGACCTGTGACCTAAAGCAATTTCTAAATTCACATTTGCCACTGCACTAAAATCTTCCTTTATTCCAAGGGGATTCTAACAATTTATATATGACCAACAAATTCGTTTTTTCCCTACTTGTGTAGCATAATTTTCCAACCGAGGTGATTTAAGTGAACCCCCTTGGCTCTATATGCTCCGCCCCTGTATCTAATGGTAGATTAGAAAAAATTTTAAGGCTTGACTGAGCATAAAATAAGGATATATTTTGATGTATGTGTTGGATTTAGCTTTTGTTTCCAGTAATGCCATAGAGACACTTGTTTAAGCTTTCATACGAATTAGGTGCTGAATGTTCATTCTCTATCTATAGTTTGCCTTTTTCATTTTACTATCACTCTATCTTTGTTTAGATTAATGATTTTCCTGTTGTGTAGTTTAGTTTATGTGTGTGTGTGTGT